AAATATATTTGTTCTCAATAAAATTGTCTCGATATAATTGTTTTATTTCCATGTTTATGATTAATTATTTATTTGTTTAATACAAATAGTAGGTAAAGTGCGACAATTGAGTGAACCTGTGTGGAAGGAATGCGGGCAAAACCCTCCTGATTAGCGCGAGATTAAATAAACATATACGCGGGTCGTCGCGTCAGGATAACCGCAATTTTCGCGATGCACCACGTCGAGGAACCGTCGCGTCGTATAGTATAGGTTTTCGTCTTCCCCTCTGCTACTTCATAGGGTAATAAGGTTCACTCAGTACCGTAAAACGAGGTTACTTTGTGACAAATTTCACGGTTTCGGTTGATTTTTCTGAATCTAAAAAGAAAAAGATTAATTTCTGGCAGGTCAATGATAAACTCACATCATTTGGCTTTTAAGATGCAATGAGATATTTTGAAAATTTTTAGAAGTAGAGCCGTGGTTCACAAAAATAATATTCACAATCTCACCCCCATCAATGGGGGGACTTTGTGACAACTACAAATTTGCCCACCAGTCCAAAGTCGTCCTTTAGCGGACCGAGAATATGACACAAATTAGATACAAATGGGACTAATTTTATTAGATTTGTTTTAAATTCATCCTACTAGTCGTGAGCACGTCTAACTGATGTGTCACAAAGTGCCCCCAAAACCAAATTTTATTGAACTTAAATGGTTTATTTGTCTAATAGGTACATATAAAAGTGAAAAAAACATACCTAATACCTAACTTGGAACTAAGGTAACTCAAAAAATAAACTAAAAAAAGGTTACTCCAAAAAAATAAAAAAAATAAAATGGTACTAACATTGTTAGTACCACATAAATTGTGTCACAATTTCACCACGAAATTTGTTGAAATTTTATTAAATATGGCGTCACATGCTTGTTGATTAGAATCATGAAAATGTTAATTCATCAGTGAATAGCCAAAACTACAAAGAACACTACCTAAACTCAAATCCTGGCTACATGAGATAGTCTCAGTTGGGCAAGGTAAAGTTCACAGCAGAAGTAAAATATTGAAATTATCTGTTGTTGATATTTTCCGCACGCACAATTGGACGCCGTCTTTCACAACATTAATTGATATACTGATTTGTTGGCGCGCTTTTTGGAACAGTGTTACCAGATTGGGGGATTTTCAAGTAGATGGGGGAAAATCTGGGGGATAGTTTTTTCTGGGGGATTTTTTGGGGGTAAAAATTGTGAGAATTTTCGCTATTGGGGGAAATCGGGTATATTTCAATGAATAAAACTAAAGTAAGAAATGTATTAAAACGCTAAATTTTAAGTTATGTCTTATTTCTTATTTTATGTTATCAAGTAAGTACTACTATTTTTATAAATTTAGATTATTTTTTAAACTATATCCAAACTTCTTGGTACAACTGTACTTATCTGTTCTGTCACCAGTCACAACATTTTATTTCATTTGTCATTTGTCAATTGTCATTTTATTTTTGGGATTAGAAAAATATAAACAAATAAAAAAGTGGTTAGGGTATGAGTTTTATTTTAAAATATTCAACGAATTTGTCTTTTTTTTTTGCAAGTATGAGTCGAGAATAAATCTATATTTATTTGGGGGATTTTAGTTGACAAACAGTGATTTTTGGGGTATTTTTGAAACCCTTTGGGGGAAATTAGTTATAACCATCTGGCAACCCTGTTTTGGAATGCCTTGAGCGCAATCGCGAGGCTGTCGGTTGAGAAATGCGCGAACTGTTGAGGATTTGGTGCGCCCGCTACCATGTGTCACAAAGTCACCTGGCCGTTCTAAAGTAACCCCGTTTTACGGTACTTTAGGTACCGTCATTTGGGGTGAAGTCGGACTGTGGGGGTAAACTAGGACAGACAGGTATTGGCCGGCGTTTTTTACGATATCGAGTATCGAGACGCCCAAAAAATCCACCGACCGGCATATTCCGCTTAGTTTAGCTCGAGTGTCGTTGAGAGTGGTGCATTTTTGCTGGATAAATTCGCCGTAGAGCACGTGGTCAGAATTTTATAAATTTTATTATTTTCTTAGAATTTGAAAACTAAAAAAGAAACTGTTGGGCACTAGGGAATACTGAAACTATGTACTTAATGAGCTATTATTTGTTATGTGCTCTATTATTAGTAAATCCCTGGCAAATTTTTTATGTGCTCTATTATTAGTAAACCCATGGCAATTTGGTGAAAAAATATATATATATATATTTTTTTTTAAATAATGGTGTTTCAGTAAAAAAAGTCATTTTATAGGGGGGAAGGCGGACACTATGGTTAGGTGCTAAAAGAAGAAAATCGGCATTAATTTCAAAAATTACAATGAAGAAAACGTCGCTGCTAGAGCACTCGAAAATATTAGACGAGGCAGAAAAAGTATAGACGAGCTGCTGAGTATTATGGGGTTCCCAAATCCACCTTACATGACAAGAAAAAGGGAATAAAAACGAAGAATCATGGCGGGCAACCGTTTGCATTTTTTTTACCTAAAATTTATAATATTTTGCTATAAATATTATTTTTTTAATTTTTTCTGTCGGACTGCACCCCGTACTAGGGGCTAAAGACACTTTGTAATGCATAATAAATGGTCGTCGGCCTTTACCCCACACATAGGGGTGAAGGCGGACACACAACTTACCTAAAAAAAAGGGGGGGATACAAATGTCATTACTTTTAGTATGTAATTTGACAAAGGAGACATGGAAGATTCTTAATTATTTTTTAGGGATTTTTTTTTTTAAATTGTAGATTTTAATAACAAAAATCTGCAAAAACCCCAAATGACGGTACCTAACGGATTTTAGCAAGCATGAACCAGATTGTTTCTAGTTTAGGTTTTCAGTAACGCTCCAGTGTGGATTGCCGGATCGATTAAAATGTTATATACCTAGCTGTCAAACCAATGAAGCAATTAAATAGTCTGCATAATAATAGTATACCTACAGTGAATAAAAATGATAATGGTTTGGTTTGCACAAGTGTAGTTTTGGCAGTTTTTGACGCTAGAATAATCATTCTCAAAATCAGAATTATACGAGGTTTTCCATCACAGCATATACAAAACGTAACCTGGCTAGAAGAGTTTGCTTAGGTTTCAACAAGAGGAGCGTAAAATCCTCGGTAAAATCGTTTCAAAAACCGGTGCAGCAGTAATGTTGAAGCATGCTCACAAAATCGATCAGAACAATTCTGTGACGGTTCGAGCCAGCATTCCATGCAACAGTTAGCGCTTGCGCAGTAGCTCAAAAATTAACTTGATTGTGAAAAAAAGTTGACTCTATAACCCTTCTCACGTGGCTCCGGTTTAACAAACCGCAACATACCGCTCAAATTCGAGTGGTAGGTATCCATCAAGTCACTTTGTAACCGGGTTAGAAAACGGTATGTCATTTCTCTAACCGTTTTGTAACCCAGTTAGTTAAACCGGAGCCACGTGAAAAGAACTTATGAAAGGAACGTTTTATCAAATCAGTGCTCCAGTGATCCAGGTTTGTTTGACATTCGCATGAAGTCACAAGCCCCACCAACTCTGTAAAGTTCGAGTAGACGCTCCTCGGAGCTGCTGTATTGTTGTTTTATATCTACTCATCAAAAGAAAAAAAGTTGAAAGATGCTCCAAGCACTCAGTGCTTCAAGACGAACTCATAGTTAGTCAGGCATAACGGGTGAAGCTCCGAAAGTCCTCAAATGCACCTACTAACCTTGCGTTCGGTATTTTACTCAAAGAGCAGAGCGGAGCCGTAATCACGTGACCAGTGAGCGAACAGAGCTGTTAAAAGCTGTATCAGAGGGCTCGAAATTGGAAAAGAGAACACTCTGCTTCTTTAAAAAGTGCGAGTCACTCGAAATCTTTCGGAGTCACTCAAAGAACCAAAAAGAACGCGGCTATGAACAACGGATAGTCAGCAGGGCTGCGTTCAAGAATTGGTTATTGGTGTGGAAAAAATTTCAGGGAGTGGAGGGCGGACACACTTGGTGTGCAAATCTAGCTCTAGGTTTTTGAAAGGTGACAAGGTTTGTATAGTTTGTGGTTTGTTTTGTTCATAAATTTAATTAAATTGACAGAAGTAGAGATGATATCTCTGTTTTCACACAAATGACACAAAAAAACGTTTTTGATTGGTGCCAATCGCCAAAAAAAAAAGTTTTTCTGGCGATTTTCAACCAATGAAATTCGTTTGACTGGTTTATGATTTCTGCGACAACAGACCTGTTATGCATCCTTAAAATGCCAGTGTATCAGGTTCTCGAACGGGTGTGGAAAGTTGCTACGCCGGTCTTCGGCAAGGATAATACACACTACTAAGGATTGCTTATCGGCCTCGTTTTTGCTTATCGCCGTCGTATTAGTGTGTCACCATTTCCGACGTCATAACTAATTCGTTAACTGTTTGCACTAACGGTCGTAGCTTAAAATTTAAATTTATGAAGAAAATTATTCTTTAATTTTGAATAACATAATAGGCAAAGAAGAAGATGAAAACGAAATGTAAAAAAGAGTTGTTTTAGAATGTTAATTAATGTAGTAAAACCAAGTATGCATAAAGCAAAAGCCCGCGAAATCATAACCTGTAGTGCAAACAGCCTACGTCGAGGCGAAAAACGACATGCTGTCTACGTCACAACCGGTGATTTGGTGGGGTGGGGGGGCTCTAGATTTGTTCCACACAGGCCTTATGAGGATGGGCTATCCTGTAGTAGTAGTGTGTATTATCCTTGGGTCTTCGGTCTACCACTATAGTTATATTCCTTTCACACCTATGAGGAGCTCCGGAACAGCTCCGGGGCGTTACGCGCTTATTTCTTTCGAAAAGTGTTTGTTGCAATTGGTTGCACCTGAGTGCTGAAGCCCTACTCAAACCATTTAAATGCATGAAAGCCAGCGCATCTGTTCCTTTCAAATCGGGGTCGACTTACACCGAAGCGAGTAGCTCAAGTGTTTCAAGCTTGTGAAAGGAATACAACTATCACAATCCACCGGCCTGACAAATGACAGTGACATTGTGATATTTTTTGTATTTATTTATATATTTTTTAATTTGGTGGATAGAAAATTTTTCTGAAAAAGTTATTGTGTAGTCCTCGTTAATTTCGTTATTAAGAAGCAATTCCGTGTTGTGGAATTGAGTAGTTCATTTCTTTGCATTTCAAGTTGGCAGACTTATTGCTTACCTACTTAATTTCTAAGCCCATATTTTAAAGACTACAGGTGTTGGATTGCATTTTAGAAACCAGACCAGAATAATCATAAATCAGTGAGTGCTCCCATTGAAAAATTTAAAACATTTTATGGCCTGCTGTAAGAGTCTGATGCCTAAACTTCGTTTCATTATCAATTTTTAAAAGTTCAATTTTTTTCAGGATTTTTTTGATAGTAATGTTAACAGAAACGAGTAAATCAGAAGGATGAGCAACAAGAAAACTTGCAGAACATTTATAAATCGTACAGAAATATGTACGAAATTGGTTAACAATACATAGTGTTTATATTTGTTATAATGGACCAAGTGGAAAAACATGAAGCCAGCTCCTGGGCTAGCTCTAAGCTTTCCTGTATATATGACACACCATGTGACCCTAAGGACAGGGATTATGAGAAGATATTTTGTCCCAATAGTGAGCTATCTGAACCACCAAAAACAAGGTGTGATCGATTAATAACTGGTTCATCATGTCAGGCACTCAAACATGCAGTCTCTGCTTTACATAGACTTGATGATTTTCATAGAGAGAAAATTGGATCGGGATTTTTCTCTGAAGTATTCAAGGTGAGTACCTGTGTGAGACTTTGGCACCTTTTGGCCATAGCAATTAGGCTCTTTCAGGCCTTGGAGCCTTCGGGCCCCCCGCAACTGCGGGGGTTTGTGTTAGTAGCGCTATGCCACTAAATAACAATAATGCTGGGTTTAGTGAATGCATGAGCACAATTTCAATGATTAGCCATAGTCACTTCCTTAATGTTAACACCTCGGTTAACACTTTGCATAAGGTATAAAGGGTGTTTACCGAAGGAGTAATTTAATACATATCAACTCTCAGTTATTGTCAGACATTCAATCTTGTCATAATCATAAAGCATAAAACTTAAAAGTTAGGATTTTTGGGGTTATTCATTGTGTTTATGCTTTAATCGTTAAGACCTATGTTTTCAGTAAACACTGTTATTAGAATTCATATATATTTTTAACTTTTATGACTTATGCGCTAAAATTATGCCTAATCAATAATTTATGCTTATGCGTTCACTAAACCTGTAATAACTGATAACAAAGCCTAGATCTTAACATTTCTAAAGACTATAAAGTCAAGTATAGGCGATAGCAAACAATAGGTAATTAGTAATTTCCTGAATTTAAGGTATTTCAATTGTATCATAACATGTAGCTTAGATTTTCAATTTATTGAACAAAAAATTTAATCAAGAAGAATTTCTCAAGTAGTTTGATAAATTATTAAACAGTTTTTTTACATTATTCCACAAATTATCGAATAATAACACTAGTTTACAAGGATTTCGCAACACAGTAGCGCCATATATTTTTTGTTTTATTAAGCATTCCTGATTCCTAATAAATTCATAAAAAATCTCCATCACGTCAATTTTTCTTTACATAAAAATTTAAACTTCCTATATACTCCTAACTACAAACCGCCTATTAATTGAATAAAAAAATCAGGGAACACAAAAACTGGAGATATTTGAATTTTTATTTAAAAATCCTGACGTGATAGACAAATTCTGTAATCAAATTTTGCTTCAGCAATAGCGTTTTAACCAGGATATGATACTCTGGTTTTTGTTGTGAACCAAATCCTTTTGTTTGTAGAGTAGTGTAATTAAATCATGAATAAAAATCTGGTTAGGTTTACTGTAGCGATGAATAGGTATTAAAGAACAATACTTATATTTTATTAGCATTGGTTTGTTGTGTTGCAAAATATACATGGTTATGTGTGGAAATGGTTTAATATTTCAGTAATTATGTGAAAAATCTCGGTAATAAAATATTAAAGGTACCTACCACCGAATCTACCACCTACTTATGATTTAAAAAACCTGAATACCTCAGCGAATACTTAAGTAGGGTTAATGATTAATCCTTGGGTTAATGAGCTGATTTTTGACCAACTAACAGAAATTTCATTTTTGAAATGCAACACCTAAAAGAAAAATTACTTAAATTTCACATAAAATATAATTTCCTCTTGTATTTTCTGGTTTGTTGAAGTTTTAAGAACAGTTTGCGAATGCGTTTTTTACTCGATTTTTTGAGGCTTGAATTTAGGAAAAGAAAAAGAACACAGGAAAAATATAAATAAACTGTGACATTTCCAGCAACCCCAAAGATATAGCAGAAATTCTGAATAATTAATTATTTTCTCAACAGCATAGAAATCATTATACTTTTTTCATATAGACAAAATTAATGATGACTCTATCACCTATTTGATGTGTCAGTTTGATAGCAGTTTCACCTTTTCGATTGATGGATTGTATGGTTTAGTTTTATCTGAGGTTTTATCCTTGTTTTCTCTTTGCCTAATAAGAAATTCCTGTCTATACAATAAAAAAGTTCATTAGAAAAAACATAAGCACCACGATATTAAAAAATCCCTTTCAAACTAAATAAATCTCCCGATAAAACCTAACTACTTCTTTAGGATCTATTGAATTACGATGTTTATTGAAAGCCTAGTCAAGAACATACATTAACAATAATGGCAATTCAGAAAATCAAAAGGATACTTTTAGATGTGGGTGATTTTGTTTTTCCTAGAAGGTTAAAATTTTATGACCGCCCAAAAGAGCCACCAAATATTCTGTATACCTTCTGCTGATAGAGATAAACTTGGTTTCACCTGAAAATAATTATTATAATTTACATATTATAAATGTGAATCCTACCACTCCGAACTTAAACTCTTATTTTTACTCTTCTATTCACTTTTATAGAAACGCTTCTTCATTTTCAAAGTAAAACCAATCGGAAACTGCGATCGATTGCTGAAAAAGTGAAAAAGAAAAAGAAAATAGTTAGGTACCTAAAATAAATTCCATTTAGACCCTCATTCAAGGGTACAGTATTATTAACATGTCTGGATTTGATTTTATTAAATCTGTTTTGCATTATACATTGATAACTTTTGCGTGAGCAATTGTTGACATATCTCAGGTTAAATTATAAAGAATTTGCAGAGAAGTTCCATAAGGATCTCTATCTTTATAAAATTTCTTTGCAATTTAGTTATAATTTAAACTGAAATATGTCAAAAATGGCTCATGCAAATGTGATCAACATATATATATTTGTAATTAGGAAGAAAAGGTCTTTCATTTTATCGCAAAATATACAGGGTGTTCCATTTGAAAAAGTCGAAGTTGTCTACGTTTCTCCATTTTCCGATGCGATTTTGTTTTTTGATAACGTTAAAAGAAAATATAGAAAAAAACTGTCAAGTTTTGTATTTACAATTTTTTTCTATCTTAAATAGTAAAGGCTGTAGTACGGTGCCAAATATAATCAAATACCCTGTACAGGGTGTCCACATTTATAGACTCAAATTTCAATAAGTACTATTAGGGATTTTTTTAGAAAAAATCTGATAGCAGATTCTTGTTTAGAATGGTCTAAAACCCAAATGTACTAATTTTTGTTTCAATATGATACAGTGATGACAACAAATTTTCACAATTTAATGAATCAAACCGCAAAAATGTTATATTTTGAGACAAGCTTACTACAAATTTTGGTTAAGGATATTCTAAAACTATGTTGTATCAAGTTTTGTTGTTGTCAAGGCCTCAAAATATGACATTTTTCCGGTTTGGTCCATTAAATTTTGAAAATTTGTTGTGATCACGCTGTATCAAATTGGAACAAAAATTAGTACACTTGAGTTTTAGACCATTCTAAAGAAGAATCTACTATCAGATTTTTTCTAAAAAAATCCCTAATAGTACTTATTGAAATTTGAGCCTATAAATGTGGACACCCTGTACACCAGTACAGCCGCAGAAATGAAATTATGAGCCAAATAAGTGCCAAATACTAGTAGATATCAGACAAAAAAAAATGAATTGAATCGGTTGAAAAATAAAAATTTTAGAAGGGTGGTCAGTCCTTAAGCGGGACACACTGTAGTTTTTTTTTCAACTAGTTGGGGAGACATCATTAACGTGGCCCTTTTGGGCGTCCTCGATCAAATGTACTATCTGACCAAGTCAAGAACACTGGTTAAAAGAATGTGAAGAATTTAAGTTAATAGAAAACATAGTTGTAACGTACACTCACTACAAAAAAATGAGGCGTTTAATAATTGTTAACAAATAACAATCGTTAATAAACAACAATTGATGAGACCTGCTATAGGTCGAAACTGCTATAGGTCGAAACGCGTCTATGGATGGAAAAGCGGAGAAAATTAATGCAAAAAACTTTTCTCAAACAGTGGTACTTTTGGGTGAAACCCAAACGAACTGAATTTTGGTCTGCCTGGAACGTTCACCATTTAGCACAGCAAAATTGCGTGTAGTGTTGATTATCGTGTCCTAGATGGCGTTAAGATCAAGATTCGCTCTTCGAATTTCTTGCATTTGCCTTTAGGCGAAAAATTGGATTGGTTTTCTTCGCTTTTCCAAGCCATACTGATGAGACCTGCTATAGGTCGAAACGCGTCTATGGATGGAAAAGCGGAGAAAATTAATGCAAAAAACTTTTCTCAAACAATTATTAAACTCGTTATTTTTTTCTATGAACTAAAATTCTTCATATTCTTTTAACCAGTGTTCTTAACTTGGGCGGACAGTAGTTATGATTACAAAATAATACAAGCTAAATGGAAAAAAAATAATTTGAAGTACCAGGCTCCAGCATGAATCAGAGGTTATTCTAACGTGCAGTTGGACACAAAATGTGGGGTAAAAAAAGTGTATTGTGCAGTAGGAAATTGAAATCTGTGTAGTTATTTTTTCATTCATTACGAACAAAAATCTTGAAACAGAACAAACTAAAAATAATATAGTTGATATAATACATATGAGAATACAATTTCTTGCTATTTTTCCCTCGGATCGTTCTCCAAACTCTTCGCTTGTCTCATCCTCATCATTAGCATTGGCTTCAGCATAAATAAATACCTTTGTACCATCTTTGTTGTTTGGGCTGTGCAGTTTCCGAGACTCTGTGCTGACGCTATTATTTAACCAAACCATAGTGGCATCTCGAGGATACCATTCATTTTCAAAATCTACTTACAAGCTACTTCCAGTTCGAGATAGGCCTTTAATGTATTTCTGATTGCTGGTACCTATAAGTCTTTCCACATCCGCACTATGCGATTTGGCATTCAAGACCAGTGCGAAAATTTTAGTTTCAGTAAGAAATTCCGAAGAACTGGTGAAAAATTTAACCAACTCAGAATTCAGAAAGCGTTAGTTTCTGCAACTTTTCTATTTGTGGATGTTCTAGTATTTCGTCATAATTTAACTTGAATTCAGTGTTAAACAAAGATCTTTCCCCTAAATACAAGGCTCCCCTTCAATATCTACTGCGCTTGACAATTCTAAATTCGTAGATGGTTTTATCACTGATAGCTTATCAGCATCTATTTCATACCTTCCGGTAAGGAATAAAAATAGGTACGAATGATTTAGTAGCAGTTAACAAAACCAAGTATTTGGGTTTTATGAATGATAATCCTTCAACATTTACTTAAAGGACATCCTCGAAAACATACTTAATATCATTAACCAAAAATCAAGAAATGTCTATTTTCTATGCTCACAAAATGGAGCGAACTAAACTACAATATTTTATGCCCTGATCTCATCTCATCTTGTGCACCGACAGGGTGATTCATGTAGCCCGTGTATTAGCTTTCAAGTGAATAATTAGATGCTATCTCTATTAATCCACCTGCAAACTGGAAAACTTTTTATACGTAAATTTGTATAAATAAAGTCTAAATAAAGAAATTTGTTATTGAACTTATTAAATAAATTGACCAAATATACACAGGATATCGAGCATGATATATATTTTTTATGATTTATATTGTAATTTTTTTACACCTGGAATATATTGAATTGAATTGGATATTAAAAAAGTACATTTTCAATCACGGGTCGCAAATTTCAACAATATTATTATGAATGAATAGCTACTTAATTATTTACTTGAATGAGTAACAATCATGATTCATGCATGACCCGAAATATAAATGTGATGCTTTCCGAGCGGGTAAACCAAACCGCATGTGAAAATGCGTCCACATTATAAAAACGCAAACTTTTCAAAAGATTTTCTTCAGCAATAATTGTAAAGTAAAGTAAATCTCTATTTCGTAAAAAGCTAGTTATCATACATAACACTTGTGTACCTATTCTTATCGCAACCAATTTTACAACTAGCAATTTAATATTTTAACGAGTATTTTAAGGGATTTTCTCAATATTCTTGGGTATTTTTACTTTCACAAAATAACTTTCTTGCTGATTCCATTGCTATGCTAAGGCTTCCATTATAGCATCCTTGTTTCTTGGGTTTAGAGCTACATAAGATTATTAAGCCCCACAAATTAGTTTTATGATCTTGCTCACCTTTTATAAACGCTCTGCTTTACATAGACATTGTTATTTCATTGCTTATTTTGAAGGTCCTCTGATCCTTCCAATAATATCCAAAAAAAACTGAACTGAAAACCTGATCTTTTATGAAGAAATATTTTAAAATAAATGGCCCTCCATCAATTGAACGACGTCTCTCCTTTGATTCTACTTAATTTTTTAAATATGGCTTTGATTTTATGAAATACCATTTTAGCAGCATTTTCAACAGGAATTTGTATGTAAATAGTACCTACTGAAATAATTTGTTATATCTTTTAAGGTGACTCATAAAGTAACTGGCAAAGTTATGGTCCTGAAAATGAACCAGCTTCGATCAAACCGTCGTAATATGCTGAAAGAAGTGCAATTAATGAATAGACTGTCTCATGTAAATATTCTTAGGTAAGTACAAATATGCCTATATTTGACGAGTATACAGGCTGGTATAAAAAGTTGAAAAAAATAAATATATAAATTAATGAAAATGTATCTTCTTCTGGAAGTAAATACACACTTATGTACATATATACATTTTTCGAGAGTAGTATCGGGAAAGTTGATTTATTTCTGTCTACTTCTGACAAGATCTCAATTTTGTTTTTTAGATTAATGGGTGTTTGCGTTCATGAGGGTCAGCTGCACGCGCTCACCGAGTTCTGCAATGGCGGATCTCTGGATCAGGTCATACAGAATCGTTCTGCACCTTTACCACAACAGTTACGGGTGAGCATAGCTCATGACATGTCATGCGGCATGGAACACTTGCACTCAGAAGGAATCTTCCATAGAGATTTGACTAGTAAGGTACGAGTATACATTTTACCATTCTTATATACATTTTATACAAGGTGAACAAAACAAAGCGATTTTCAAGTATTAAGTTCGGGAAGTCCGCTCCTTTGGAGGTTTAACTATGATTGAATCTATGATTGATTGAATCTAAACAACCATTATTTTTTCAACTGAGTGACTGGCTGTTCTCGAAGTGGCTATTCCATTATTTTTAGAAATTGGGTTTCAGATTCAGTTGAGCTTCAGTGGCTCTTATTTTCTATTGACATTTTTTTATTTATTTTATACAAAGTATCAAAATACAAAAATACAGGTAACATACAATAAAATCGTAGGAATAATCTCAAGCAATGTAAAACAATCACAACATAACATTTGTCAAAATATTTGTCTGGATAGTTGTACACAATTATTCACAGGCAAACTTGGGCCAGCCTCCGCCAATTTCGACAAACAGACCAACCACACATGCGTGTTGGCTGACGTTTGCCAGCCTTTGCCATATGTGTATGCCCGGCATTAGGATAAGTACAGTTTTCTTTGTTCGCAACTGCTGGTAGCTTGGGCAATTTCGCACTTCGTTATGTATACTCCAATGTACCAATCACAGAACTAGTTGCAGGCATCTGCCTGCTAAAAATCAAATTATTTTGTTCATAGAATCGCGAAGCGGTGAGAGGCTAGGTGCACTACTCGGGTATATTTCTCTTCATTTATTTATGTCAGATTGTTTATTAATCTGCGGCGAGCAGCGTGACGAGATGAACAACTCCACTATGTTTTTACACTTAGTTCACTATGTTTTTACACTTAGTGCAATTTTTTAGACTAGACTAACCCAAACAATTCCCTGTTTTTGAAAAAAACAAAACAATGGGCACCCATTGTCATAGGGCCCTAAGTCATAGTCTTTTCAACCACTGTATTGGCATGTTGCGTGCTACATCTTTTTATTGGCGCATCCCTAAAGTCTACTGGTTTTGTTCTGTCTCCATGGTAAACTGTATACTAGGGTATGAACGTTTATAGTTATTCCAAGAACTGACCCAGTCTATCTCTTCTATTCGATTTTTTTTCACTGAAAATTCTCCTACAAAGAAGCTCGCTATTACCTACTGAAAAGGTACCTGTAACCTAGACTATATTATTTAACCTATATACTTTGAGGCCATATTCTTTCTTTTGTACTGTATTTTAAATGTTTATTAACCTCTATTATAGAATGTCCTGATTAAAAAACTGGATTCTGGTCACCAGCAAGCAGTAATCGGCGATTTCGGGCTTTCTGCTTGCATACCAGACCCTTCCAGTAAGACTAAGCTTTGTACTGTGGGTTCGCCTTATTGGATGTCTCCCGAGTGCCTTAAGGTAATAATTGATTTTTTTTGTCACAATTAATTAAAAAGCTTGAAGTCTTGTATAATATAAACTTCTTTATACTAAGAATATTACATTCTGAGGTTTGCATTGGATATTTTTATTCAAGGGCTTGTATTATGATCAACGTAGTGACGTATTTAGCTACGGCATTGTTCTGTGCGAGCTGATTGCTCGTGTTGAGGCAGACCCCGATCAGCTTCCAAGGACAGATAATTTTGGCCTGGATTATTTGGCTTTTTCTGATCTTTGCGGTCAAAATGTTGTACCTGACTTTTTAAAACTAGCGTTTAGGTAAGAATTCAACCATCCAATTGATTTAAGGGACTTGAGTTGATAACCATAATTTGTATCTATTTCGCAGATGTTGTACCATAGAACCAAAAAGTCGTCCGACATTTACTGAAATAAAGAACACTCTGGGCGAGATTTTGCATGATATGAGGACAGTATCTGCAGTCAGGGATAGAGACATTAGCGTATCGATTTGTGCCTGTACTGCCAAAAGCGAGGAACAGTTACCAGTGGTATCCAATCAGGCGTCCACATCAGCACCTCAACACAGAAAGAGTAAGCACTTTTCTGAATGTAATTTTATAATAGCATCGCAATGGTTTATGAAAAAATTAATCTCGTTTCTTTCCAGTTATTCATCGGCGGTCTTTCTCAGAAGACATATCCGTACTTGCTCTGTTTTTATCACCTAGCGACAAAGCCCGCCGGCATGCCCTTACGATGTGCAAACAAGACCCGCATTATAAGCCACGCACTTCAAATCCGTTCGCCACTTTGACCCAGTTCCAAGGGGTCAAAAAATTACTAGGTAACTTTTCGTCTTGCTGTGAACTTCCTTCGCCTTTTGTTGAAGCTACCGCTGCATCCGATACACCCAACTCTTTACCAGGTAATCAATCAAACTAAATTTTTTTCAAGTTTGTATCTGCAGGGTAACTAGCTAGAAACTCCTAAATGTGAACAAAGAGTGTGTTAGTGGACTCGCGGAATCCCTGACAATCATGTAATCAATGCAAAACCCATATTCCAGAGAATTTGATTTTGAACAGTGTTTTGAAAATACCTAACCAGTTTTTTTTTATCATTTCATAATATTCAAACTTACTAAAGGAACCGATGTACATAACCTTTCAACACGTCACAGAGATTCATATTGTGTCCCGCATACCCAGTGACTTTTTCGGCGTTCCTCTAGCTACAATGCAGTGGCTGCATTTCATTCACTGCCCGCTAGCGTCAGAGTAACGCTCAATTCGGCAGCATTTTGTCAAAAAGTAAAGAAGATCCAGTTGGCAGGTTGAAGCAGACATGAATGTCGCACTAGTAATGGGAATATATTTGCTATTTTTATTTTTGATTATTTTATCATTTTAATAAGTTATTATTTATTTTATTATTATTTTGTTCCCTTTTTTTTATCTCATTAATATTAATGTGGGAATTCTTGTATCTTCACAAGGGTGGTTGTATGAGCAGCTTTAGTTGGATACCGCCACCCAATTTGAAATATTATTTTTTCTGTGTATATATTATGAATTTGAAATAAAAGGCAAATTTATTTATTATTTATTTATTTTTTTTATCGGTATGTGAAAACTTAAATTAATAGGACTTGTTCTTATGTTTTATAAGCTTGTATAGGCTTAAGCTCATTTACTATGTTACCTGATTCCTTCATAGCTTTATTTCTATTCTACTGTTGCCTATGCTAAGCTTATTTAAAATAATAACTCTCCCAATTCTTGTTTCAATGCCTAATAAGCGATTTGAAGGACAATTTTATTTAAGAATTTATTAAAGAAATGTAATTCTAGTCCTTCTGAAAATATTTTGAAAAGCTGTATGAATCTGTTAATGAAACTGATAGAAAAAATTAAATATTTTTTACCCTTACAGGTTCTCCAACTGCTGTCAGGAAATCCAACAAAAGTAAGTCTTCCATCTTCACCCATCCCCTGTACAAAGGGGGTTCTAGCAGCAATCTATCGGAAACTGAAACGCCCACGTCAACGAATCTCCGCAGACGAGGATCTTGCGAATCGGGGTTTTATTCCAGCATCGGAGAATGTCTTTCACCCAGTAGCCTTTGGGGGGACAGTGGCACCGCAGTAAGTTCGTTAAGGTCGTTAGACGAAGTAGAACCGACTGAATTACAGGCTTTATGTAAACGCGCTTCTTCAATCTATACTGATAGCAGTGAAGATATTTCCAGTCTGACCGGCTCTGACTGTTTCGCCGACTTGCAGCCCAACATATCGACAATCGTAGACTATTTTGAGAAAAAAGGCGCCACATTGAGGCATCCTGGTGGAGTCAGGGGATGTTTGCAATTGAGTTCTAGAATAGCAACTCTGCGCAGATCACTAGAGAAACATAATTCAACTGCTGTGTCTAGTAGCACTGGAACACCTTCGACAACGCCATCCCAGAGGATCAAGTGCTCGAGGTTGGTGATCTGTGAGGGAGCGGTCAGGTCAAAATTACCGTTGTTTGACAAAAAATAGTTTTCTTAGGCTTAGTCAATCGTATTCCCAAAATAAAGTTTATAGGAGATCTTCATGAATCCGATTGGCCACAGCTCTGCTGTGCAAAAAAAAAAATTTTTCTCTAGTCAGTTATCAAAGTTGATTCTGTAACGGTAGTCTAAAATGAACGCATTCCGCACGATTGCTCCGTCCTTACAAGTAGAATCCTACAGTATCCATAAATTTGACTACAATACCAACAAATGAAAATTTATTTAAAAAAAAAATGCGTCATAACATTTTAGACATTTACCTGAAATGTGTAAATGGTTCTCAAGTTTATTTTAGACTGTATTTTCTTGTATTAGCATGTTGAAAGTCTGGTGGCATTACGAATTGTGGTCCAGATTTTTTTTTTAAATATTAGTAATAGGTATATACATTTTATTTAACAGTTTCTGGTGCCAAACTTCTTCTCGGAATTTCAGTCGGGAATTTTGAAATTCACATAAACTCTTGTGCCAAGAGACTTAAGCACTTGTTATAGAAATTCTGTTTTCGTTTCAATTATTGATTTTTTTAAAATTAAGACCTAACTTTGAAATTATGCAAGCCAGAATTACTTGAAAAAGTTGAAATTATTTGAGCTAAACAATGTAAACATTCTAAATCCTATAAATAATTCTGGCGTTTTGGTTGTCATTGTCAACTGTCAATGAAAATGGCGTTCACGTAGTATATCATCATACAGTCATGCCTTTGGCAGACTTCATTGCGAACCCTTCTTCTTAACTTTTAGACTAGTTAGTATTTTTCAAAAAAGTATTTTTAATTATCTATGTGTAAACTGTAAATTTAAAACAAATATTTAATAACATTAACATTAGACCTAATTATTTTTATTGTTACAAAAATAATTGTTTCCTTCAACTTTTAAATTGGATTTTTACCGACAGTGTGAGAAAAGTTTTTTATTTGACATATTTCTGAAAGTTTGCATGTGCCGGCCCTAGACAGTCCTGAGAATAGAGAATTTTCACAAATATTAGAAGGCAATAATTTAGAGTATGAAAAGTGTTTTTAGGTTCACCTAGGTCATTGACGCTACTGAAGCTAGTGCAAGTTTCAAAATGACTGTATTAAGACTGAATAACTGAGCTCCTGGCCAATGATTCGAAAGGTTTTTGTCATAGCATACTTCTTAACGTTATACTTTGGCCACTTAGGTGCAAATATTACTAAATATTTATATGAATCTGAATTAAATAAATTCTCAGCTATAAATTCATATACCGTGTGTGCCAAAATGTTCACAACATAAGGATTTTTTTATTTTCTTCTGTTGGGCTGGTTTTATTGTTCCTATATCTAAGTACCTACCTGAAAAATGCATCATGTGATATCAGAAAACAAAATATTTGAAAATAATACCAGAATATTTACAAAAAAATCTATTCTTTTGTTGTAGTAAGCAACTCAAATTGTGCATATGAACCGGAAAAACTTTTTCAAATAACTTTTTTGATGTGTAGCTTGCCAATTTCAAACTCAAAAATGTTAATCACAAAATTACGAAATTTATTAGAAATTCGATTTCAGCAAATAATGGCACTGTGAATAATTTCAGCATATTTTATTTTCATAAAAGTAAAGGTTTGAAGATGGCAATAAATGTCGGTAGATCTGGCAACCTTTGTTTGGTGTAACTTCAATAATTTACCTCGACCCTTAGTGTGATTGACAAAGAAAATACACTGGTTGGTAAAAATCGTTCGTCTTCTTAGAAATGATCAAGTTTGTTGGGTAGTATTAAATATTTGGTATTATTCTTCTACTATATAATGTTATAGTAGGATAGCTACCGACATACTTATTATTTTAATGAAAGTAGTTAATTTATATGTTCTTGCATACTGGCTTGACACTGAAGGCGTATTTTGGCGTGGCTGAAGACAGTCACCTTTTTAGGCAGGTAAAAATATAATTCGAGGATATTTCTGGAATATAAATGCCCGTATAAAATTTCTCTACATTGCCAGACTGGAATACAAGTCACTATTGAGATACCTGTATTTAAACTTGTGAGTTCGAGAGATTTATGACGGGTCTAAGGTCGCAGACTATTGGAACCTTTTTTATTTTTATATTAGGTATTGTATTACATTCACTAGTTCTATTTATATTTAAATTTGGATGCGAACTTTCTGTTTATTTCGAAATTTTGAGGCTTTGGAAAACTATTGAGTGAATTTTTAAAATTGCATTCCTACAAATGCTTGATTTGCAATAAATTAGGTTCAGCTTTGCACAGAAGCAGGCAAAGTTTTTTTTTTTTAAAAAAAGGCTGTCTGTTTTATTAACCAAGTGACCAAGACAAGTCTTGGAAGATCTCAAAAGATGGCATGATGATATCTAGAATATTGCTAGACAACACTGGATTAGGACGGTTATGGACAGGCAGAAATGTAAAGATATATATGGAAGGCGCCTACGTTCAGGATCGGATGAGAACAGGCTGATAAGAAGAAGACTAGCAATGCATTACTATACACTATCATTCCGTGCGTTCGTTATTTTGGTCTGAGTTCTCCGAGCTTGACTTTACCGTTCGTTTATTTGAAAAGTGTACTCGGTGCAGCCTCATTCGCGTTCGTTTATTAAAATTTCTGACACTTTTATACAGCGTTCACCTGCTCTGTTCGCTCGCTGGTCACGTGATTACGGCTCCGCTCAGCACGCTCTGCTCTTTGAGCAAAATACCGAACGCAAGGATTGTAAGGCAGTTAGAACGAGCAAAAACAGCCAAAAATAAATAAATGAATTATTGAATAATCTCAAACTCGTCAACACTGCAATTTCAGGCATCATCAGGGGTAACCAACATGGTTAAAACGAGACAACAATAGTAACCACAAACAATAATAGTTTTAATATCAATTAGTTTTTATATTTTTGTTTGAATGGTATGAAATTTAGTACCCTGGGGTCTTGGTGACGTGCAACCGATCTAGTTTTGGATCAGCTATACGATGTTCACTGTTTTTGAAAACTACGGTTGACAAAATTGAAAGCGTATTCAGTGTCAAGCTAGTACTAGAACCGACATTGCTTAATATTTTATCATGGTAGAAAATGACCATCATAAATACGTCGGTAGCTCTTGCTCTATTATATGCAACCTCTACAGTTAAGAGGTTTGTTCCAAGAAAACCACAAACATCTGACTTTCAACGACCAAAGATCGTGGGCGTTTATTCATCAAACATAACGGGTTTTACGTGAGCAAAATTTGATATTACATATGATAATATGCGAAAGTTATGAAATCTGATTGGTTGGTTTAATGTAATATGTAGTTTAAATATAGAAAATTATTCACCAATTAGATTGCACAAATTTTGTATTTATTCGTAATATTATATCTTATATCCCAAGTATCAGTTGTTTGTGATTTTTGTGGAACTTTAATATAATTAAAAACAAACAACAACCTGGTCAGGTTCAAGTGGAGTGCTCAGATTGTACATTGCAATTTATTAAAGATACACTGATTTTGTAAATAAATGTTTTGTAGCGATTATGTGTGCTCTTTATTTGTTCTTTCCTTTAACTTTACCGATCCCAGCCAGTTTTGAGAAGGCAGTCACATGGAATGGAAATCATCATTGTGAAATCGGCCTTATTATTATGCAGGTGGAGGCCAGATGAAATCGGATATCTTGTGGATCACTGGTAACCCTCTACATCAGTGTTGTCTTGATCAATTAAGGGGGCTCGATTTTGAGCAATACTGTGACAGCATTCTAACTTTTTTGTGTATGAAAATAACTGATTGATTTATAAAGGGTGTTTTAAAAAAATCGTACTTTGGTCAATAATATCTCAAAATTGCGGTCAACTAGAAAAAAAAAAGTGTGGATGTCACTGGAATCCGTTCAAGAAGGTGCTTCCAGAACGTTATCACAGAATAAACAAAAAAGTTCTAAATGCGTTTACACTCAGTATTCCCGTATTGCTCGGAATCGAGAAACGGGCTCTAGCGGAAAAACGGTTAATGATGATGATAAAAATGCGATCTAAGAGGTTTTCATAAATAATACCGTGGCGGGTTATTTTTTTTCTATCGCTTGGAAATTGTCCAAATTTGCCTACCCTGTACAGAAAAGGATCAGTCTGTCCAGAAGTACTATTTCAGGAAATTGAAAAATAAGTGTAATATGGTCCAAATGATGGGTCTCGATTTAAGGTCGAAAAAAAAAAATGAAAATATACTTAGCATTTTTCACTTTGCAGTAAGATAGCGTAGGTATGTATTGGTCTGGACGGTTTGGTACTTCGGTCCTGATACTTATATGTAATACTAAATAAGCTAAGTAATTCAATCTCCTCTGCATTCCAGTATCCTCCTTGAATTATACTTAATTGCTTCTAGTTTTAACACCTCCTTGCAACTCAAATTATAACACATGACAAACAGATAAGTAGTAGGTAGGTAGGCTGTTTCAACAAAAATTAACCAAGATTATGTCAAGAACAAATAACCAGAGATATGTAGATACAGGTGTGGAAAATTTTTCAAACTTTAAAGTCGAGTTCCATCACCTCAGGCCCCTCAGGGGAAAAGTAGAAGTAGAAATTAATCGTTTGGAACAAGCAGACGTCGCGATATCATTGAAAAAGCGGAAGGCCCTACGCTATGGGTATCTGTTTTCTCCAATTGTCATCGCACCCAAAACCAAACGAAGACTTGATTCGAGTTTGTGTCGACACGAGGTTAGCTAAAAGAGAAATTATACGACGTCATAACCCCAGCCTAATGGTGCAATACTCTGGTAACACTGTAGAAGATCATACCAATAAGTCTGTGTCCCAGAAAGTCAAAGAATAGGTACAATTTTACTATATTACAGATCAAAATGTGTATTTACCGTAACAAAGATAAAATTCTTATGGATACCTACATATTTTCACGAGAAGGAGTCCAACCTGATCCGGGTAGAGAAAAAAATATTGTAGATTTGAAAACCGCGAGAGAGTCCAACAGAAGTACGAAGCCATTTGGGTTTGATAAACTGTATGGAAAAGTTTTAAGCAAACCTAGCTAATAACACCAAAATTCTTAGAGATTCAACTCTGAAAGATTCCATTTGACAATGGCCACTAGAACACATTGATCAAACATTCATATTTTTAGAATACCAACTGATGAAGGCAACAGCATTATCCAATCTATATACAGGGTGGGGACTTTAACTGGAACTAATTCGCTAGAGCCTTCGAATAAAATATGTGGGCAAAACGCAAAAACACGTCGATCAAGATTTTTTGCTTGAGTTTTTTTCACATTAATTTTTTTATACAGGGTGATCCAAGAACAGCTGTACGGTTGTCAAGTTTATTTTTCCAAATGGTAGCCCCTGTATATTATGACATTTCTGAATTCTGCAGAAAATTCTTCTTCAACTGTTTCGGAAATATTGACAGTTGAAAATGGACTTTTTTGCAACTTTGACAGGCTGTAAAACCTTAACGGTCAATTTTAGAGGAAAACCGATTTCACACTCCTATCTTAGATTTCCATAAGCTATCACTTGACACCAACTTTGAATTTAATCCATGATTAAAAATTCCAGTTAAATTCAATTTCCAGTTAAATTCAAAGTTAGTGTCAAATGATAGTTTATGAAAATCAAAGACAGGAATGTAAAACTGGTTTTCCTCTAAAATTAACCGTTTAGGTTTCACAGCCTGTCAAAGTTGCAAAAAAGTCAATTTTCAACTGTCAATATTTCCGAAACAGTTGAAGATAGGTATATAACATTGTACATAAAATATGTCTAGAATTTTCAGCAGAATCCAGAAATGCCATAATATACAGGGGCTACCATTTGGAAAAATAAACTTCATAACCGTACAGCTGTTCTTGGAACACCCTGTATAAAAAAATTAATATGGAAAAATTTCAAAAAAAAAACCTTGATCGACGTGTTTTTGCGTTTTGTCCACATATTTTATCCGAAGGCTCTAGCGAATTAGTTCCAGTTAAAGTCCCCACCCTGTATATAAAAATGAATGCCACTTTTCGTTGTAATTTTATAACTCAAGAACGGACTCACCTATCCAAACCAAATGTTTAGGCTTTGTTCGGACTATTTATTAGATGGTTTATGTGAAGTTTGCACAAAATCGGTCGAGCGGTTCTTCATTTATCACATTTTTTGTGATAAATTAATTATTCAATAAATGGATCGAGCATCATTTTGCTGTCAAATTCAAACTTTTTTCAGCGTTGACAGTACCAGCATGTTGTTATGTTATTAATGTGGTCATTTCATTACTTATTTTATTTATATATGAAAAAAATTTACTAAGCCCGCATACGGCGCCATGTCTTATAACCGATACCAAGTTTATTTTGTATTTTGTATACCGCGCCATCTCTGATACCTGGAACGAAGCTCGGCATTGCAGATACAGTAGAACAATGCTGCACAGAACTATTCCACTATTCCGATCAGCTAGAGTGGTGCAGAAAGAGTAGTTCAGATAGAGTAGTGCATATAGAGTAGAACAGATGGAGTAGTGCAGTGCAGATAGAGTGAAATAGGGCTGCGCTAGAGATTTTTTTTGTTTTCTTTACATTCTTTGAACATTCCTGTGCCTGAGTTTATTTATTTGGTGGTACACTTTACAAGAATAATGCCCACAAGCTGCCTAAAAAAGGATGATGTAAAATTTTAATTTTAGGTGCCTTCTGATCCAGAGAGTAAACATTAATTTTCTTCAACCAAAGCCAAATTCACCATCGAAAAAAACTGAATTTAATTCAGCTAATAGATACGTTAACACAACATTTAATAGGTATATTTAATAATTCAGAGGCGGTACGAAGTTCGCCGGGTCAGCTAGTAGGATATAATATCATCATCATAATAATGTCAATAAACCAACATATTTGATAGTTGGGTCTGAAGGTCAGGTTCTCACCCAAGGTCAAGATGTTATCGTATATGCTAACAGAACAGAGAGACTACTCATTATCATACACAATCACTCGATACCGAGTATGATTATCTTCTATTTTATTCTTCGTCGATTGTACGTTTTCTGATAGCTTTATAAACCAATTCTGGAGCCGCACACTCTTCCACAGTCTTGGCACACCCAGTCTCTGGCAGCATTGCCTCTTCCTCTGATCTCCCGCTCTTTCCTGCGGTCCCTCTTTTCGGTCTCTTGTCTGCGTGCCAGTCGGGCAATTATTGGCTGGCTAGTGGCTACATGTTTGGGGCACCTTTTATAGCCCCTTCCCCTTCAGGGCGCGCAGAGTGGATCCTGAATAGGGCTGCTCAGTCACGGATACAGCACACAAGTTGCTTACAGCCAATCCTTGAGCAAAACGGCGATCACGCTATCCGCTGTCTCCGTGCCGGTCTGTCACTAAGAGCTTCCAGACTTCACTATCCTGGGCTCCTTTTTTCGAATATTTTCGCATACGAAATTTGATACGATTTCGAATGCCACCCATTTAACTTACATTGCTGTCAGTCGAATTTCGTGTACGAAATGTACTCGAATGGTTTCGAAAATCAGATCCCTGCACTTGACGATCGCCGAAGGACTTTCGTGTGCTTTGGACTTGATGGTCTTCTGTGTCCTAGAATAGAAGAAGCCTGTGCGAGACTTTCATTAACGTAGGCATGCTGATGCACAGTCAGCAGACCCACGGTCCCTAAGCTCGAGTTCCGCCAATAGAGAGACTACTATTAAATAGATACCCAATCTGTCGATAAATCCGATAACGTTGAAGAAAGGGCAGGTCATCGGTAGATGTCCCTACAGCAGCTATCCGAATAGTGAGATGCGAAAAATGAGCACCCTGTCCGACGGAGTTAATTTACCTTTTGAGCTAATGGAAAATTTCAAGAAAAAAAACTGGAACCATTTATTCAACCACAAACGGAGGAGATCATTGATTTTGTGAAAAAGGAAGCTGATTCCTTTATGCAAGAAAAGGTTACGAGGTTCTCTGTGGATTTTAGACGGTTGAAAGATTTCAAGAGGAAAAATAGCTACCCATTACCCCTAAAGTGACGATTCCCTCAACACGTTATTGGATTCCACCTTCAGATCTAAAAAGATAATATTTGCAGTTGGAACTTAACAAGTGGGATAAAGACGCGCGAGACCGTCTTTGCAGCTGGAAATTGCTAATATTGTCAATTCAAAATAATGCCGTTTGGATTATGCAATGCACATGCCACCCTTTGAGAGACTGATGAAATTAGTTATGCGAAGTCTTGGTATGCCGATGCGAAGTCTTGGTATCATGATGATGATGATGATACCAAGACATGCTTGGTATGCCCAAGTGAGTCCTCGCATATTATCGGATTCCACCTTCAGATCTAAAAAGGGAATATTTGCAGTTGGAACTTGACAAATAGGATAAAGACGAGACCGTCTTTGCAGCTAGAAATGGTTAATATTGTCAATTCAACGTCACGTCGTTCATATTATGCAATACACATGCCACCTTTTGAGAGACTGATGAAATAAGTTGCGAGGAGTCACTATTGGGCA